AGTTCCTGTCCTCTCGTCAGGCCTGTCCGAGGCCTGCTTCGAGGCAGTAAATCTTGTTTCTTCACTCGAGGTGACCCCTACAATTACCAAAAGCATTTAAATGTTACCAGAGCAGCTCCGTGGTTCTAAATAATTTTGTCACTCTTAAAGAAAGTTATATACTGAGGATTAATACGAAAAACAAAACTTTACTGGTGTTACATAATGTAGATGGAAAACAATAAACAAGTCTTTAAGGTGTGAGTTTTTTTTTTTTTACTGGAGAGCAGCGGGGACCTAATGTAAAACAAATGTCTTTCATTTTGTAAAATTTTTGTTGCTTTTGTCAGCAATTTGACTGTAAATGTTTTGCATTTTTCAGTGAGTCATAGCCTATATTTGAAGTGGGTGAAGTTTTTCTTTCAACATGGTCTGAAAAAATGTCAGGGCGAGCCTCCACTTTGGCTTCCTGACAGAGAGGCTGTTTTACAAAGTTACTACTCAAGACTGATTTGATGTAGTGACATGCTACAGGCGCTTTGGATCCAGTGAACAAGACTTAACTCTGGATTTGTTTTAACAAAATGAATCTAAAGTTCATTCTTATGCCGCRTGTGGCAAAACAGGTTTTGAGGAATTTCATTTTTAAATTTGTAAATGTTTTGCATTTTCAGAGCTGTGTATGCAGCCAGCACAGTTTTAATCTGCATGTAATAACTGAATTCTGTTGCATCTCATTTTGACGGTAGTTTATTTTCAATTGTAGTATTTACAGCCTCTTTAAATTACTTCTTTAAATACCACTCTTAAGAGATCAAAGCTGCAGCTTTATCCACACAAGCATGAAAAACTGAATCAGGTTAACAGTTTTTTAATTTTTTTATTTACTTATTTTTTTGTTTTGTTTTGTTTTTTAGTTTTACAAGATCAGCAGAATTTCTTTACATTGATAATTACATGACTTTCCTAAGTTTTATTGTTGGAAGAAGTACGACTGTAATGCAGATTTAGACTGAATTACAGTATAAACCTTGTCACTAATTACTAATGTGTTTCTTTGTATTTTATCATCCAAATAGTCTAATAGGATGGTTCCCAAACTTTCTTTGTGTTATGATTGGCTTTTTGTGTGTTCTTGTTTGATGATTGGCTGCCTCATTGTTTCCTGCACCTCTGCACACCTGAGGAAGATTCTCCTAATGAGCCACTGGGGCTTTATAAGGCATCCTGACTGTCAGATCTTCGCTGAGGAAGTTCCAAGTCGGGGAAACACAAACAAGAAGAAGAGAAGACGGACACAAAAATAGCTGATCTTGGCGGTTGGCATAAACTGGTTTGTGACTGGACTGCTATGGCGACTCAAGTTGAGGATGAGGGAGATGATGAAATGGATTTTGGAGACTGAACACCAGTACGTGGTAGTAGAGGATCAGGAAGGAAACGAAGTAGAAAAGAAGAAAGGTTGTTGGAGACACAAAGTAGCAAACGGAGTCTAGAAGAAAATAGTTTGGATGAGAATAACGCAGTTTGCAAGAGGATTGTTGGGCAGGAAATTAAGTTGATCTTAAAGTTTAGGAAGGAAGATGAAGGAATACAACTTAGTCCGCTAGCTCTATCAAGAGAATTAAAAAAGAAGTTTGGAGAACTGACACTTGCTAAGACTCTTAGAGATGGGAAT